TGTTTTCTGAGGAGACCAGAGTTTCTTAAAGGCAAGAAGGAAGATGAGGATGAGGGACTCTGTGCCCTCCTTACTCTTGTTTCAAAGAGCAGCTCTACTTTCATCAATTGTATATATTGTGAGCCTGTGTAGAATTTTCTTCAAACCAAAGTTTCCACTGCTAAAATATAATTTGGAAACCACTTCACAGGGTTATCTCTAATTTTCTTCTAGCTGAAAAAATGTCTGTGCTTCTGTGAGCTGCATAGCAATGTTGGCCTGACAAAGCTCCCTCCCAGCAGCACAGTGGAATGGCATTGCATAATCTTTGTATAAACATTCAGTTTTACACTTCCTACATAGAAGAGAAAGGGAAATAGGGATGTAGGGTGAGCCAAGAGGAGGAAAGGGGGAGTTAGAAGGTCAGTGGAATAAAGACAGAGAATGCAAAGGTGAATTGACTACAGATGGAGGATTATATTATTCTTTACTCTGTTGCTAAACACTGAAGAAAATGAACATCTCAACCTGCAGGGCAACAGTGAAACTGTTATGATTGGGTCTAGATGTGCCCTCATAGCCTCATGTGGCTGAATCTGGAGGGTGTGATGCTGGGATTAAGGGTTTGTGGTAACTAAATCAGTCTACTGACTGGTTTGGCACCACCACACTCCAGGTAGTCTGGATAAGATAAAAGGGGCAGAAAGATGCTGTTAAGGCCCTTTGTTGCTTTGTTACCTTTAGTCTGCCGTGAACTGTTGTCCCTCTGCCCTGCCACCCTGCTTTGGAGCTAGTGATTATGGACTCAAGGCTCTAAAAACTGTGAGCTAAGTAAACCCCCTTTAACTTTGGGCATTGGGCATTTTCTTTCAGCAATGAGAAAAGTAACTAAGAGCTACCTTCCCAGTACTTTTCCAAGTATGGGAAGCATTTCACAGGGCTGAATGCAAGACTGTGTTCAAAGGCACATATTTTTAATTCAAAAGACCTTATTTGCAAACCAGTAACTTCCTGTTTTGTCAAAGTAATACTTGGGAATTCGGTTGCAATGTCAGAGGACAGTGTTGGGTTTCTAAAGACACTGCTAAGGTACTGCTAATCTCTAGAATGATAGTGTATGTATCTATCACATTTAATGTGAAATTTAAGAGACGCTCATTTTCCCCATTGAACTAAATACAACCTACAATTTAATTTTATGATATGTCTGGAGGTTTGGAGTCCTGTGATTTTTTGGTGTGCGTTTTCATGAATCATCATTAAATTTTTCTATGCAGAAGTTCCTTTACATGTGAACTATACAGTGCTCCGTTGTTGTTCTAACTGTGACCTGCATAAATAATTTTGCTCGCGGTGGAATTTGCAGAGGAAGTGTGTAGATACCAGGGCCCAGCAAAGGATTCAGACAACACTCACAGTGTCAGCTCTGATTTACATCATCACATTTAAATGCAAGAAGGAATGTTGATTCTAAAGAAAATCAAATACATTAAAACAAAGCTTTTGCATTTTTAGAGACATAGACAAAACAAGCCTGAAATCTACACCACATTTAAATGTCCTTGATAGAAAAGATAGAAATTCTGCATAATCATGGAATTGAGGGATAGAAATAAATTCGGATGATGAAGGGCAGAAAAGGAAATGCTACATAATGATTTTATAATGCAGAAATCTTTTTATTCAAAAAAGTGCATTTTAAAATCTCATTGAAAATACAGTGTAAAGTCAAATTGCCCTCAAACTGTTCACTTTGAAAATAATATGGAAGATGGCTGAAATTTCAGGATGGGAAAAATACCTTTTTTTCTTTTAGTAATTTAATTTTATAGCCAAACTCAATTGGAGACCTGTCTGAAATTTCTACCATCCTTTAAAAGACCTGTATGTTGTTGTGAGTTCCATTTAAGTATTAACACTGCTCTTGCAAAGTGCTGAACTGCTAAATAACAGCAGATTTGAAATTTATTATTTTTCTCTGTTAAAAAATGTTGCAGATGGAGGAAGAGATTGGATATAAACTTTCATTAGCGTAGTTAATGTTTATCATTCTAAACCCTTCAGAATGTTAACATGTTACAAGCCCTAAATTAAATCAAGTGAGGGCCTGTCAGAACCAGCAAACCAATGTATTTTTTTGCAATACATAAATCCAATTTTACTTTAAAACATTATATAGTACATTATAAAACCACTCCTTTGTTTCCTTAATTGACAATAGCTACTTTTCAGAGCCTTGTTCTGCCCTGACAAAGCTAATATGACATAAAAGATCTAAGACTTGCCATGTAAAGGTACATGATCCCAACAATGAATGTAACTGTACTGTATCCCTAAATGTACCAATAAACTCAATAAAAAAAAAAAAAGATCTAAAAGGTAGGGCTGTGCTGGTAAAATTCATGTATGTGAGCTAAGATCCACATTTTAGTTGGTGCTTATAAGTCTGCTAACCTGATTTCTTCTACGAATGTTTAGTCGGTTTCTCATGAACAAACACACCCCGTTTTGAGGTGTGTGGAATTACATGGGAGTCAGGACACTTTATTATTTCTCTTTCCTTCCTCTGAGACATGGCCCTTATCCCATTTCCTTTGGAATATTGTTCCTCCTATTTTCTGCCAACTTTCTTTGTTTTCTTCAATATCCCAATAATGATCTGGGTATAGGAAACCTTTCTAATTTGTCTTCTAATTTATGTCTCTTCCCCTTAGTCCTTTATACCTCCCTGCATACTCACTAGAGGGGCTTGTTTTTAAAACAATCTCTTCAGTTTGTTTTGTCTCTAAAGAATATATCAAGGGGAAAAAATGACAACCAAGACCACTTGTCATGTAAAGGTACAAGATTCCAAGAATGAATGTAACTGTACTGTATACATAAAATGTACCGATAAACTCAATAAAAGAAAAAAAAAGAATGTACATGTATCATTTCATGCCGTGTTTGATGTGCTTATTGGTATCTTTGTGCTGGAAATTCTACCCTATGACAGACTTTCCTGGCTAAGTCCCTTCTCTTTCCTTTAGCAATATTGAATGGATGATGCATACACCATTAAATTTGGGTTCCAAATGTCCTAGTTCAACTTTGTCATCACTCAAACAGCAAATCTTCAATCTTCAGAGATTATCTTTAATCTTTAACAGATGTCTTTTCTGCTTTTCCAAGTACTGTATATAGTATTTTCTTTCAAAGTGTCTGTCACTGGTGTCATTTTATATTTACTTGAATGATTATTTGCATATTGTCTGTCTCTTGCAACATGTGAAAGCAAAGACCATGGTTATTTCATAGACCATTTTAAACCATTTTGTCACAATCTCTGGTATGTAGTAAGTATAAAATAAAATAAAATAAAATAAAATATATAAATGATTTTTTACCTCTGATATGTTCCTATAATTTATCGGACAGCATAAAATATAAAGGCTAGTTGAAAAAATGTTTTTGAAACAATGTCAGTTGTTATTGAGTCTTAGATATTTCCAGAATTGAAGATGGCCACAGAGATTATATGTGCCTATTTCAAATGTTCAGATAGGGCACAATGTGCGAACAAAGGAAAAAAAAAAACTGTTTTTAGTATCCCTATGATAGAATGCCACATTATTATTCTATATTAATTTACAAATTTCTCAAAATATGTCATTAAATCAGAAGAAGACACAAAATGAAAATAATATATGATTTTAATTTTGTAGCCAATGGATATAAGAAAGAAAAAAATTAACATTTTACAAGTGCTTATCTTCTCTATGATGGAACTGTGAATTGCTCCATTGTGTTTCTTTTTAAATTTTACAAGTTTTCAATAATATACATATATTCATTTACAATAAAAGTATGACACATTTCAATGTGAAAAGAAGTATAGAACAGAGGTAAATACATCTGTGTGCCAATCACATAGTATGTTGCTCATATAAATAGAAAACACACACACACACACTCACACACACACACACACACACACACACACACACACACACACACATATATTTTTTTGGTACCAGGGACCAAACTTGGGCCCTTGTGCTTGCAAGGCAGGTGGCAGAACCACTGAGCCAAATCCCTGGGCCTAGAAAACATATTTTAACAGAAGATTAAAGACTGAAGGGTAAATAAAAATGTTTCTCAGGCTTATGAGACACTGAGACAGAATCTCTAAAGTTTGAGTCTAGCCCAGGCAACTCAACAACTTAGTGAGGGCCTGTCACAAAATAAAATTAAAAAAATGGGCTGGGGATGTAGCTTAGCACAAACTCTCTGAGTTCAGTCCCACAAAACCACACAAATATGACACACACACACACAGACACATGCAATTTTTAACAAATATTTTGGAAGTTTGTTTTTAAAAAATTATAGAAGTATGACTAACATACCACTAATGATATATGTCTAACATATGCATTTTGATGAGTTTAAAAATATACATCCAGGGCTGAGGATTTAGCTCAGTGGTTGGGTGGGCTGCCTTGCAAGCGCAAGGACCTGAGTTCAATCCCTGGCACCCCCCCCAAAAAAAAAGAATTTGAAAAAAAAAATATGACCATGAAACTGGAAGCCTAAATAATGCCATAAACCCATGACTTATGCAAGTTTTACTCTTTTCTTCATGATTATAACATTTAATATAAGATTTATCCCATGAATAAATGTCTAAGTATGCGATATAGTGTTGTTAACTATATACACTAGGTGTGCAATAGAGAGCTCTAGGACTCATTCATCTTGCAAAACTGAAACTAATATTTTACCAATACTCCAATTGCTCCTCCTTCCATCCATTGGTAGCCAGCATTGCATTCTGTGCTTTTTATGAGCTTGACCAATTTGGATTCTAGATATAGGCGATACAATATGGTATTTGCTCATCTGTGTCTGGCTTGTTTCAGTTAACATAATGATATTCAAATTCATCAGTGTTTTAGCAAATGGCAAGATTTTCTCCTTTTTAAAGACTGAATATTTTTGCATTATATTTATGTATCTTATTTTCTTTATTCTCTTCCAAGAGACCTTTAGGTGTTTGCTGTCATACAGAATGCTGAAAAGAATGTGAGTGGAAATACCTCTATGAGATCCTGATTGCAGTTTTTAGGGTAAGTTTCCAGAAGTGGTATTTCCAGTAAGGTAGGTCTACTTTTAATCTTTTGGAGAGACTCCATACTGTTGCCGTAGTGGCTATGGCAATTTAAATTTCTGTCAAGAGTGTGCAAAGATTCATTTTTCTGTACATCCTCATGGAAAATATCACTGGCTACTCTCCTGTCTTTTTTATAATAGCCATTCTAATAAGGATGAGGTGATATTTCCTTGTGATTTTGCATTGTCCTGATGATTAGTGTATTGAATTTATTTTCATATCAGTGTTATTTGTATATATATTTTGAAAAAATGTCTATTTAGGTCTTTTTGTCAGTTTTTAAATCTGGTCTTTTGTTTTATTCTATGAAGTTGCTTGAGCTCCTCTATTTTGGATTATTAAATCTTTACCTGTTTAATCATTTGTAGTATTTTTCCCATTGTACATACATCTTTTTACTCTGGCAATTGTCTTATTTGTGGTACAAAACCTTTTAGTTTTTAGTTGTGCCTCTTATCTATTTTTGCCTATGTTGCCTGTGCTTTTGGTGTCATACCAAAGAATCATTGCCAAGGCCAATATTAAGAACATTTTTCCTACAATTTAGTTTTTCTTTCTCAATATTTTCTGGCTATTTAGTTGTCTTCTGCAATGCTACAAGGTCTGGTGAAGAAATACAGTGAATTTTTAATTTTTTTAAAATTCTTACAGTGACAGGCACATTGCCATTAATCCATCTTAAAATATTCACTCTTGCTTTGAATAAACTTAGCTCATCATGCGTGCCACTTTCTGAAGCAGTTCTGAAAGTCCTCTTTTGTGAGTGTTGTTAGTTGTTCTTTTGCAGCTGCCTTGATGTCCTAAATTGATTGAAAAGGTTTACTTTTATGGTGCATAATTTTAGATTAGGGAAAAACCAGAAGTCACATGGTACCTGATCCAATGAATAAGGTAGATGAAGACACGTGTAATGCTTTTATGAGCTTCATTCTCTGTTGGATGTCAGGAAAAAGCATTTGTTGTGTTTTTAGATTGCACCTCATAAAGACATTCATGAAAGAAATTTCTAGAACAGCTTCAGAAATTGGCAAGAACAGTGGAATAAGTATGTTTGGAAGCAGGGAGAATATTCTGAGAGAGATTAATATATCACTTATTCTAATACAATTTAAAAAATTAACTATAATTTAATTACACTGAATATATGAATTTTAGGATTTTTCTTTTTTTAATTTTAATTTTATTGGCACATTTTTGGCATACAATATAATGACATTCATCATTGGAGATTTGTAGCTTTACATAATATATCTTGATTTTTATTTTTCCCCATATCCTGCCCTCCCTTCAACCCCTCCACCTTTCCCTATTTACAAAGTCTTTGTTTCCATTTTTCCATTTTCTCATGTTAATTCCATTCTATCCCTGATATATTAACATCTTGCTAATCCTTTCATTTACTTTTGTGTGTGTGTGTGTGTGTGTGTGTGTGTATGTGTGTGTGTGTACACATCTATTTATTTGCATTGCTGGGACTTGAACCCAGGACCATATGTATGCTAGGTAAGTGCTCTACCACCAAGCTATATTCCAAGCTCTACATTAAGTGTTTTCAAACCTATAGCAATTTTCTTGAAGACTCTGGAAAATAACATTGGCCTATTCTTAAATTTTTGACATTTTTAAAAATTGAGTTTTCTTTCTTTAAAAAAATCATTTTTATCATTTTAGAACAGTTTTATATTAGCATCAACACTGAGTAAAAACTGTGTATATTCTCCATATGTCCCTTGTCCTACATATTCATAACCTCGCCCACTCAAAATCTCACCAGAGTGGTAGATTTGTTATGAACCATGAACCTACATTGACACATTATCAGCCCATAGTTAAGTGAAGGAATTTTCTTTTATTCTTTATCAAAGTTAATTCTTGAAAAGGGAAGGATTTCAGTAAGTGATTCAAGTTGAAATTTGGAGGATTAAAATAAAACAGAAGCCAGTGTATCTAAGTTAGGGCTCCCAAGTTAAATTTAGGAGCTTGCCTTAGTGAGATAGGTCAAATACAAGGAGGAAGATGGAGAGAGAGATAGAAATTGTAAAATTGAAGGGTGGAATATGGCATGACACAAGTAACTTGCTCAAGAAAGATGGTGAATCTCAGAAAACATATAGAATACTAGGTTTAACTATGAACATTAAGCTATAAGGGGGATGGTGACAAATTACAGTGTGATATTGGAAAATAAACATCTGGTAAAGTATGCATGATGAAGTTTGGAAAATAAAAATTAAGGATTAGCATTGAAGAATAGATGTAATTGTCTTCAATTACTTAAAAAGTTATGACATGAAAGAAGAATTAGCCTTTTCTGTGGTCTCCAGAGCAGAATAAAGAATGATCCATGAAGGCTATACTAGGTAGCTGAAGCTGTCTGAAATGAATGAGAGAAGCCTTGTTAGTTGTTCTTCTGGTGTTAATCCAGAATGTGGGTGAAAAATCTCTCATTGCATTAGGAGTAATATTGGCCTAGGTGAAAGGCTGCATTATAAGACCTCATGGCATTTGAGCAGAGTCCTGTCTTTGACATTAGAAACCTCAGTGAACCTGTTGATGCTCACCCTACCCATCTTTAAAATGGAAAAAGTACCATCTATGTTTCAAGTCTCTGTAAAGATACAACTCGATTATTCATAGAAATTTGAAAGCCCATTATGATTAAAACCAACTAGACTAAATATTAACTATTAAATGAGACAAGTCTGTAATCTTTTGATTTCAAATTTTGACTATTGCACATACAAACCAAGGATATCTTTTGCTTCTTGCATGTGTCTTTGGTTTAATCCTTTCCATTCATTACATAATCCATTCTACACACTCAGACATTTAGGCAGAGAGAATTTCTAAATATTGCAACATGTAGTCCATATACACAAAATATCAACCAGTATGCTAAAGAGTGGTGTTTTCCAAATTCTATTTCATAGTCTACTTTCTGGGTATAGCAGGTACTTATAGTTCGACCGCAAGTATTTAAGTGTAGTATGTTTAACGGAAAGTGGATCATAATATTGCATGCTATTTTCTGGCCTATTTATGAACCTTGCCTGAATATCCATGTTTCAAAGTGTCCTTTTAAAATACCTTCAAGGACTAGTGTTTAATTTGTCAGTCAAAGGGTAAGGAAATAGCTTAGATCACTCAGTTCTACTTGGAGGACAAGTTGTCTCTGAAATCCACTTGACCCGCATTAGATAGACTATGCCTTGAATAAGAAACAAACTTTCATTGTATGAAACTCCAGAGATTTCAGTTTTATTTATTATTTATTTAAATGTAACTTAATCTACCTCATTTTGGCTAATACACAAATTAGTACCAAATAAGAATGGAAGCTAAAATAAAACCTAAAAACACTGGGTCCTTTTTAGTTTTGGAAGGCAAATGGCCTTCCACATTGGAATGAGAGTTTATCATTCCTATCTAGGTGCAATCCTTGGCTATTCATTTATTTAAAAAATTTTTGACCTGTTTGACTGTCATTGGAGGCAAAGAACGACTAAAACTAATAATAAATGGTATTTTTTGGCTTTTTACCCTGCTACTGGGGATCAAACTCTGGTCCTTATGCTTGCAAGGCAGGCAGCTGAACCACTGGAGCTAAATCCCTGGCCCTTGTTGGCTCTTTCCATGTGCCCATCATTGAACTGGAGTCTATGTTTTTCACTCATTAATTTCCATTAGAACTCTGTGATAGGGACAGTTTCATGTCTCATTCACAGATAAAGAAATAGAGGATGAGAGAACAGGGCCACACCAAAGTAAACTCCAGAAAAAGTTTTCTGCCGGACACACAACAACTCAGATTCTAGTGAAGATGCTGAGTTGTGAGTTTGGGGGAGATTTTTCTGAAAGTCTTTTTAGGCCTTTTAGTCTTCTTTCCTATCCACTACTCCTGGCTTCAAGCTGTGTAGACTGTCTCAGATCTCCTTAAGACCAGCACATTTACTTCATCTTGAGAGCTCCTTCTCTCCTAAAAGGATCTATCAACTGGACCAATGCTTCTCAAATTTAACATGTACAGAGTAGAAATCATGTGGGCAGAAGGAGAAATCTTGTTGGAGTTAGACATTGAGTTAATTGGTCTAAGAAGGGGCTTGAGATGATGTCAGCTAGAGGTCTGGGGAACAGAGATGAAGAAATAAGGGGCCGGAACATATTAGAACTACTGGATATCAAAATTTAGGAAAATAAACTATTAAAGGGAATCTTCTATCCTTAATGAACTTACTTTCTTTCTCTGCTCAGATTGAGCTGTATCTATAGAAGGTGAAATGAACAGGACACAGCACAACTAATCTGCTCAATTCTACTGTTGCAAAGATTGATGGAGACCATTGTGTGATCAATTTGGTCATGACACTGGGTATCAGTCATGAGCTTGACTGAAATGAATGAAATCACTTTACTCCAATCTGGTTTGCTTACACTGTGTAAACTTAGCCGGTCCTGAGGTTTTGGGGTCAGGGAAATCAGTGCTACACCTAAGTCTACTAGCCTTCCCGGGGTAATTTATTAAAGAAAAATCAGCTTATTCATGCATATTGGTTATTATAGGAGGCAATCAATCAGTTTCCCTACCTTACTAAAATTCTCTTCTCACGGAATGTGCTTACTTATGCTAGTCAGAAAATGTCACAATTTAATATTTATATGAATGAAACTTTGTTAGGTGAGATCTACTCTTAAAGCAATTCATAACATCAGCTGAGGAAAAAAATGCTCACAGAAGAGTTAAAAATGTTTGACGCAATTATACAATATTTAGAATGAATTTATAATCTCCAAATGTGGCAACATTGAAGAAAAAGCCGTGTATTATTTTTTAAATATTTAAAAATAATTCCATTACATAAATCTCAACTTATACTTTTAAACATGTTGATGCAATATGGATAGAGGGATGTAGCTAATCACATCATACCTGAGAAAAAATTTTTGTGGCATTGGAGT